TTCACTAAGACAATTTAAACTAGATTAAATGTAACACCGGAAATAAGGCAAAGTTAAACTACCTAGCAAGATGATTTAAGTTGTCCTACCAAGCAAATGACCAATCACAGTGTTATTCTTGAAAGGTGGTTGTCGGATTAAAACACCTCCAGGAATTTTAGGCAAGTTAACATTTCTAGTGAAAACACAGCCTCTTTTAAGGTGCCATTCTAGCTACAGTAACCAGAGGTTAATCGAGGTAGCTAGTAGGCTTGTAAAARCATTTGCAGAATGTAGTCAGGTATAGTGTTCTTAATAGAGAGAATAGTTAACAATAAAGTATTGTAGGAATTATATAAAATATACCAAAAAAAATAAAGAGTTAAAGTATAAGAGAAAGAAATAATTATAACAAATATTACAAAAATACATACATATATACATGAAAAAAGAAGAACAATAAGGATCAAAGAATTATGCTCATAAGTGATTTCATTTTGATTTCATTTTGATGTTATTTCTAGTTTGATAATTCTCATCCGTTTTTATACCAAAGCAAATCACTTTTCAGTCTTTCCTTAAATTGAGAGAGGTTAAGTTTTTTAAATGACTCATCAATGGAATTCCAGACTTTGACTCCAACAAATTTGATGTTAAATTTTCCAAAGTTAGTTCTTGCTTTTGGAATATAGAGTGATTTGCTAGCAAGCCGTGTGTTGTAATTATGTATAGCATTTACTTGTGTGAAGAATGGATTAAATGATTCCGGTTACCTCTTTGAATGAAAATTGTACATAAACAAAAAACTAGAAAACCTGGAAAACCTAGAAAACTAGGTCAGAAAACTTTAATATTTCAAGCTTTAGAAAAAGAGGACTGGTGTGGGCATCAAAATCAGAAAATGTAAGAAGTCTTATGGCTCTTTTTTGAAGAATGAATAGAGGTTCAAGAGATGAGCAGTAAGTGTAATTACCCCATGCAGTAATGTCATATAGGCTAAGAAGGGGTAGATCAGAGTATAAGACAGAGTAACACATATATCAATATTGACAAATTGGCGGAGCTTAGAGATAATGCCTATATTGCGTTTTAGTTTACTGGATATATGTGAAACCTGAGATTTCCAATTAAGATGACAGTCAAAAATGATACCTATATTCTCTTTCAAGGGGTTTACGGTTTATGGTTAATGAAACAGAATGATTGAGTTTCTTATACGAGGGGTGAAAGATGACAAAATTGGACTTGTCTATATTAAGGGAAAGTTTATTTGCACAAAGCCATTCATGTATAGATTTTAATTGGTCATTTATAAGAGATTCCAGTTGTATGAGGCTCTTATTTGAAAGAAAAAGATTTGAATCATCAGCAAATAAGTGTAGATCAAGTGAGTTGCAACAATGGTTAAAGTCATTAATGTATAGGAGGAAGAGGATTGGTCCTAATACAGAACCTGCGGTATGCCAGTGGAAATGGGAAGCAAGTCAGATTTAATGCTTCCCACAGATACAAATTGAAATCTATTTTCTAAATACGACCTGAACCAAGTGTTTGCTAAACCTCTAATACCAAATGGATCAAGTTTTTGTAATAAAATTGCATAGTCAACAGTATCAAATGCCTTTGATAGGTCTAAAAATATACCACATGCACAAGAGCCTTCATCAATTGCTGATTGAATCTTGTCAGTTATAGAGAGAATGGCGTGCAAAGTGGAATATATAGTTAGTTCTAAAGCCAAATTGCTTTTCATACAAAATACTGTGCTTAGCAATGAAGCTCGTAAGACGTTTACATACAATTCTTTCTAGGAGACGGTTGAATATCGAAAGCAAGGAAATTGAACGATAGTTATTTACATCAAGTTGGGAGCTTTTTTTTTTTGTACTGGTATAACTTTAGCTATTTTAAAATTACTAGGTACACAACCAGATGCAAGGGATAGATTAAAAATATTTACTAAAGGTGTAGATAATTGATGCTTGAGAAGTTTTAAGAGGCAATGTCCACAAGAATCGAACAAATTCACGAATTCGTGGCAAAGGGTCAAAAAATCAAATTCGCTCTTCTTTTGAAGTTAGATAGGCCATTATTAGATATGAATCCTTGGGTTGTTGGTTTTCGAAAATTTTATTTTATTTTCGAGAAAACGGCCACAGAAGAGGTTCGACCGAAACCCAAGCAAGAGACGCTCAAGAGGAGTGAAAATGGACAAACTTTGAACAGAGCGCGCGTAAAAAATAAACCATCAAACAAGATTATAAATCTATTTAAAGAACGTTTCTATCGTAATTTTTAGCGTGAATTTTACAGTAATCAATCTTCTAAACGTAAAGTGGAACCTCGGTCACGCAATCACCAAAGATCGCGTTTTTTGCGCATATACCGACAATCCCAAAACCTTTCTAATGCAGCTTAAATTTACCAAACCACACTGAACTTTCAAACAACGGCACGAACAATATTTTCTTAGTTTTCAGGGTAAATTTCATGGCAATCTTTACGAAAATCCTTAGTCCTGTTTTGATTCGGGAAGCGTGATTTTCGCATGTATTTCAACCAAATTCAACAGGTTTCTATGCAGTCAGAATTAATTTCCCCAAATCAATCTTTAAAGTTTTGAAAAGGTCTATTCTTCCTCAACTTGCAGCATAAATATTATTTCAATCAGAGAACTTGCCCTTAGTTAAATCTTTTTTTCTTTTGAGGCAACTAATTAGCATATGTAAACACAGGCCTCCTATTTCCCTCGCCAAAAATTCGTCCCTTTCCCAATAAGCTTGAAATCCAGTCCAATGAACGAAAAAGGGTGATACATTATTAAGAAGGTTCAAAAATTGTCATAGATGGTTTATTTTTTACGGGCGCTCTGTTCAAAGTTTGTCCATTTTCACTCCTCTTGAGCGTCTCTTGCTTGGGTTTCGGTCGAACCTCTTCTGTGGCCGTTTTCTCGAAAATAAAATA